GAGCGAGAAAAATATTAAAAGAGAAAATTTATGAGGGAGAGAGAGAGCTCGAAATAAATATTTCTCCATATTTTAAAATTTATATAAATTTTATACATGAATTGTAAAATTAATAATTGAATAGTTAAATAAATTAAAATTTAAAATAAATGAGTAAATTATGTAATGGATAAACCGGTGAATATATAAAAACAAGTATCAGTCGGCTTAGCTGAGAGATGTATACCCTCAGCCAATGTTCGATTATTTAAATATTTTTGACTGCTGTAAGAGTAGGTTCCGAAGGAATGAGCCAATATTGTCAATTTCGTATCGAACCTAGAGGGTCAGATGAACAATAAGTCAAACGCCAAAATTTTTACATATTCTTTTCTAAATTTTATTGCATGAAAGCAAACAAGCATTAAGTTCGGCTGGGCCAAAATTTTAATACCCTCCACCTTAGGGTAAAGGAAACATTAGAAGAAATGTGGCAAAAACTATTAAAATGCCGAATATCGGGGGGTACCGTTATATGGGGGCTATATCAAATCGTGGACCTACACATAGACCTAAGACCCATTATGATCTACAACTACCAATTTTCAGACAAATCCGTGAAAAAATGTGGCAAAAATTATCAAATTACCGAATATCGGGAGGTATCGTTATATGGGAGCTATACCAAAACGTGGACCTATAATTACAATGACTCGCCACACGAATTGTGACCCATTATGAGCTACAACTACCAATTTTCAGAGAAATTCGTAAAAAAAATGTGTAAAAAATCATCAAAATACCGAATATTGGGAGGTACCGTTAAATGGGGGCTATACCAAAACGTGGACCTATAATTACAATGACTCGCCACACTAACTGGGACTCATTCTGATCTACAACTAACAATTTTTAGACAAATCAGTGAATAAATGTGCCAAAAACCATCAAAATACCGAATATCGGGAGGTACCATTATATGGGGGCTATACCAAACATGCAAAGTTTCGCCACCGGAGCTGGAACCATTATAACCAACAAATACCAATTTTTAGACAAATCCGTGAAAAAATGTGGCAAAAATAATCAAAATACCGAATATCGGGAGGTACCTTTATATGGGGGCTATACCAGAACGTGGACCGATATATCTCATTTTCAATACCAACCATCCTAGACACAATGCAAATAGCTCTGCTAAATTTTGGAGCTCTACGTCAAATAATGTGATTTCAACGGACAGACAGACAGACTGTATCGTGATTTCAACAGACAGACAGATGGGGTCTACGACGAATATTTAAGGATGTTACAAACGGAATGACAAAGTTAATATACCCTCCTTTCCAAGGTGGAGGGTATAAAAATGTCGGAAATAGTATCAAATTTTAGAATAAAGTTAGATTTATTCGAATTGGTCAACTTTGGCACGAATTATGGCCTTCAAACGGCCAATGAAACCGTCACATGCTGCCCGAATGTTGCTCTGCGGTATTTCGGCCCATTCCCGGCGAAGCGAATGCTTGAGGTTATCGACACGTTGGTATTTTTTAGTGCCAACCTTACTTTCCAAAGTACTCCAGACAAAATAGTCTAACGGATTGGCATCCGGAGATTATGATAGTCATTTCGCAACCATTCTTGGGTGGCGCGTGTTGAGTACGATGGTGCTGAGTCCTCTTGAAATGTCCAAGGTCTGCGGCCAAAATGTTTGGGTGCCCAAGGCTTTAATACTCCCTCCAGAATATTTTTGCGATAATATTCCGCATTTACTCTCATGCCACGGTCGATTAATACGAGCGGAGAGCGACCATCGGCTGTTATGGTGGCCCACACCATAAGCATGGTCGGCGCTTGAGATCTGTTGGTCAACCGAAGGAGCACATTTTCAGCTGACCTCTTTGGCAAGTAAACACGATTATTTTGTTTGTTTACAATTTGCAGGACAACGAATGTTTTCTCATCGAAGAAAACCAAATTCGGCTGTTCACCACTTTCGGCCAAGCGAAGTAACTCTGTAGCAGATTTGAGTCTATTTTCTTTCTGTTGCGGTGTAAGTTCTTGCACTTGTTGGAATTTCAATGGCTTTACACCGAGCTCCTTTTTTTAATATTTGCCGAATGGAATTTTGCGATATGTTCAGCTCACGAGCCATTTTTCGGCCACTGCGACGCGGGTTTCGATCAAGTCGGTTCTTGTCTTTTCGAACCTTTTCTGCTGATGTTGCTATCTCCTTGACGTCGGGCTACGCTACCAGCGATGGTACGACACACAAAAGATTTATTCACATTTACATGGTGGAGTGCTCTAACGATATCCACTTGTGGTTTTCCTGCCAAATATAAAGAAGTCACACTATCTCGCTTGAATTCCATCACGAATAACTTTTTTTCAGGAAAATTCTCACCAAAATGTTTTTGTAAGCTTGTAAACAATATAATGAGCTGTCACTGAAATAATTTTAACAGCTGTCGGAGGAGTGGTTTAGAAATGACAGCAGTCTGAAATTGGTTGTTTTTTCATCTCATCTTGTAATTAAGAGTTTACGTTTTTGTTTACTAGCAGCCATATGGCTACTGAGGGTATGTATCATTTGATACGGCCAAAACTTTCCATATCGAAATGTCTTAGACGATTTAGCCATGTCTGTCTGTCTGTTGTAATCACGCTATCTTTCGAACAAATTGAGATAGAAGGCTAAATTTTTGCAGACGTGTATATTTTGCCAGTAGGCAGGTTAAGTTCGTAAATGGGCCATGTAGGTCCAAGTTATCATATAGCTCCCATAAATTAGCGACATTATTTAACGGAATTGTTTGAAATTTGGCATTTGAAGTTCGTAATGGATACTACCGCCTAAGACAGAAAATTATCTGTGCAGGTCCACGTCTTCGTATAGCCCTCATATAACGGTACCCCCCGACATTCGGTATTTTGATGATGTTAGCGACATTATTTAACGGAATCATTCCAAATTTGGTATTTGAAGTTTGTAATAGACACTGCAGCATAAAACAGTAAATGGACCATGTAGGTCCACGTCTTCGTATAGCCCCCATATACCGTACTATTGCTATTTTTTTTTTGGGTAAATAGTAAGTTTAGACATTTAATTTGTTCAGAGGCTCATAATAAAATCTGATGAGGAATATTTCTTTCTTCAACGCTTTCTGAAAAAATTAAAATTTAAAGGTAGAATTTGAGAAAGTAAAACACCCTTATTTTTATATTTTTTTAATTTTATTGAATGAAAGCAAAAAATGTCGGAAATACCATTAAATTTTAGAATAAGTTCAGATTTGTTCGAATTGGTCACCTTTGGCACGAATTATGGCCTTTAAACGGCCAATGAAATCGTCACACGTTGCCCGAATGTTGCTCTATTTAAAAAGTGATCACAAATAACGGCTAAACACGCCGAAAAGTCAATATTTAAGGAGATATGGCCATTTTAAAATATTTAACAAATCAAGCTTTAAAAAGTGATCACAAATAATGGTTAGAAACACCGAAAACTCAATATTTAAGGAGTTTTTAAATATTCAATAAATCAGGCTTTAAAAAGTGATCACAAATAACACCTAAAACGCCGAAAAAGTCAATATTTAAGGAGTTATGGTCATTTTAAAATATTCAATAAATCATGCTTATTTTGGCCCATTCCCGCCGAAGCGCTTGCTTGAGTTGATCGACACTTTGGTATTTTTTAGTGCCAACCTAGCTTTCCAAAATACTATAGACACAATAGTCCAACGGATTTCTGCTGGTGTTGCTGTTTTCTTTCGTCCACTTCCTTGACGTCGGGCTAAGCAACCAGTATCACGGTAACGGTAACGAGCGATGGTACGAGACCAGATTTATTCACATTAAATGCTGGAGTGCTCTATCGAATGCCACTTGCGGTTTTCCAACCAAATAAAAAGAAATCACACTATCAAGCTTAAATTCCATCACGAATAATATTTTTTTTTTTGGAAAATTCTCACCAAAATGCTTTGGTAACTTATACTGAAATTTGATGCTTTGTAGGTGAATTTGTCATAAACTGACATAGAGCATATCTTTAACCCTAAAATGTGTTTTACATTTATTTTTTTAATTTTTGGCTTTTAGACAAGATTCATTTTATATTGCAAAAATTTTTCTTGGATATTTTGAATTCTCTAAACAGAGAGATTAAAAGATCATTATTTGAAAAAAAAAAAAAAAACAGTAAAGAAAGTCTTAAAGACAAATGTTAGACGTTTGATGCACAATACAAGGTAAATCGGACGAAGTTATATATGAGAGCTATATCCAAATCTGAACCGATCTCGATAATATTTGGTAAATGTATTTCTGAGCTGTATTTGATATATTTCCCCAAATATTGTTGTTGCAGAGTGCATATTACGGCTGCGGAGGACAAAAATAACAAATCGGATGAACAATATATATGGAAGCTATAGCTATATCTGAACCGATTTCGATCAAATTTGGCATACTTATTTTCAGGTGTATATGCAAAATTCCATATGATTCGGGCTGATATTACACGTTTAGTGCACAATAAAAGGCAAATCGGACGAAGATATATATGGGAGCTATATCTAAATTTTTACCGATTATCTCCAATTTCAATAGGGTTCGTCCTTGGGCCTAACAAATGATCTGTGCAAAATTTCATCTGGATCGGGCAATAAATGCGACCTGAACTTTGTTTACAAAAATACATGGACAGACGGACGTACGGACCGACGAGCATAAATCGACTCAGAATGTGATTCTATGCAGATTATCAAAAGGAACTATGGGTCTATCTCGGTTCCTTTTGCCTGTTACAAACAAATGCACAAAGACATAATACCTGACAACTTTGTGGTGTAGGGTATAATTACCAAAAATACCGATTTTATGACTCACTTGAGGGTTAACATTTTCAACTCAAACTTTGCCGATATCTATTTTTATATATATTTATATATTATATAGATTATATATTTTTTTTAATATTTGATCTTATTCTCCTTTTTCTCACTTACCAAAATTTGAATACGTATCGGTTCGAAAATTTTAGTGATTTTCAAATGTTCATCCAAAATGACAACACGAAACTGGACGGTGTCATTGGGCTTGTAGAACGCCTTATCACTTTCAATGTACACCCTTGGTCCACCATATTCCAAAGAATACAATCCCTTACTCTCACTTAGCGTTATGCCCTTAATACCCTCCACCTTTAACTCATATTGGAATTGATCATATAGTCGTGGTGGCATAAAGTTAATCAGACGACTTTCGTACGGTTGTACAGTCACCTCCTCACTCAGGTGCATGGAACTCGATAGGGAACGTATGCTGAGGCGAAGAGTGGCCGCTGTCGCAGCATCGTGCAGGGTAACACACACCGAGTAGTTGCGATTCGAACGAATTGTACCCGGAGCGACTATTGAATAGTGGCTGAAAACAAAAATATGATTTAAATAAAATGCTTCCCACTTCGACCGCAAATCAATTGCCAGCTGGTTAGAGATTACAATATTACCTCTGACTTGTAATTGGAACTATGGCAATTTGTACAGCTGCCAGTACGTAGAATATCAAGCGAGAGTGATGCATCGCCGTGCGTTGTTCACCACTCGCCAAAGGCAACTGAGGCCAATGGAATTGTGTATTTCTTTTTATGGATTAGATTTTTCTGAGAATCAAAATCAAGAATGCATTGCGCTTTAGTAATCTAAGCCGATTACAATGTACCTATCAAGAGGAAATTGCAAGCATAACACGCCAAAGTGAATTATTTTAGATTTATCGAGGAGTAATTTCGATTTGAATTTGTATTGAAGGTAAAAGGAATTTAGCTATTTTATTGTAATCCAAAAGCAGTGAAAATTTTGATAGAGACTTTATTTTTGGGCAATGCGGAATATTAGATACTCAACACAGAGATAATATTGAGACCATTCGAATTAAAAATTATAGCGTGGCGATAAAAAGTTGTTAACATATTTCTAACACTCTATTGAACATCAAGAGCGAGGAGAATATTTAAAGAGAAAATTTAAGAGAGAGAGAGAGAGGGAGAGGGCTCGAAATAAATATTTCTTTATATTTTAAAATTTATACAATTTTTATACATGAATTGTAAAATTAATAATTGAATAGTTAAATAAATTAAAATTTCAAAAAATGAGTAAATGATGTAATGGGTAAACCGATGAATATATAAAAACAAGTATCAGTCGGCTTAGCTGAGAGATGTTCGATTACTTAAATATTTTTGACTGCTGTAAGATTAGTTTCCGAAGGAATAGGCCAATATTGTCCATTTCGTATCGAACCTAGAGGGTCAGATAAACAACAAGTCAAACACCAACATTTTTACATATTATTTTCTAAATTTTATTGCATGAAAGCAAACAAGCATTAAGTTCGGCCGGACCAAACTTTTAATACCCACCACCTTAGGGTAAAGGAAACATTAGAAGAAATGTGGCAAAAACCATTAAAATGCCGAATATCGGGAGGTACAGTTATATGGGGGCTATACCAAATCGTGGACCAACACATAGACCTAAGACCCATTATGACCTACAAATACCAATTTTCAGACGAATCCGTAAAAAAATATACCAAAACGTGGACCTGTAATTACAATGACTCGCCACACGAACTGGAACCCATTATGATCTACAACTACCAATTTTCAGACAAATCAGTGAAAAAAGGTGGCAGAAACCATCAAAATACCGAATATTGGGAGGTACCGTTATATGGGGGCTATACCAAATCGTGGACCCATACATGTAATGTTTCTCCACCGGAGCTGGAACCCATTATGATTAAAAAAATACCAATTTTTAGACAAATCCGTGAAAATGTGGCATAAATCATTAAAATACCGAATATCGGGAGGTACCATTATATGGGGACTATACCAGAACAGATGGACAGATATATCTCATTTTCAATACCAACCATCCTAGACACAATATAAATTGCTGTCCTAAATTTTGTAGCTCTATGTCAAATAATGTGGACTGTATCGTGATTTCAACAGACAGACAGATGGGGTCTACGACGAATATTTAAGGATGTTACAAACGGAATGACAAAGTTAATATACCCTCCTTTCCAAGGTGGAGGGTATAAAAATGTCGGAAATAGTATCAAATTTTAGAATAAAGTTAGATTTATTCGAATTGGTCAACTTTGGCACGAATTATGGCCTTCAAACGGCCAATGAAACCGTCACATGCTGCCCGAATGTTGCTCTGCGGTATTTCGGCCCATTCCCGGCGAAGCGAATGCTTGAGGTTATCGACACGTTGGTATTTTTTAGTGCCAACCTTACTTTCCAAAGTACTCCAGACAAAATAGTCTAACGGATTGGCATCCGGAGATTATGATAGTCATTTCGCAACCATTCTTGGGTGGCGCGTGTTGAGTACGATGGTGCTGAGTCCTCTTGAAATGTCCAAGGTCTGCGGCCAAAATGTTTGGGTGCCCAAGGCTTTAATACTCCCTCCAGAATATTTTTGCGATAATATTCCGCATTTACTCTCATGCCACGGTCGATTAATACGAGCGGAGAGCGACCATCGGCTGTTATGGTGGCCCACACCATAAGCATGGTCGGCGCTTGAGATCTGTTGGTCAACCGAAGGAGCACATTTTCAGCTGACCTCTTTGGCAAGTAAACACGATTATTTTGTTTGTTTACAATTTGCAGGACAACGAATGTTTTCTCATCGAAGAAAACCAAATTCGGCTGTTCACCACTTTCGGCCAAGCGAAGTAACTCTGTAGCAGATTTGAGTCTATTTTCTTTCTGTTGCGGTGTAAGTTCTTGCACTTGTTGGAATTTCAATGGCTTTACACCGAGCTCCTTTTTTTAATATTTGCCGAATGGAATTTTGCGATATGTTCAGCTCACGAGCCATTTTTCGGCCACTGCGACGCGGGTTTCGATCAAGTCGGTTCTTGTCTTTTCGAACCTTTTCTGCTGATGTTGCTATCTCCTTGACGTCGGGCTACGCTACCAGCGATGGTACGACACACAAAAGATTTATTCACATTTACATGGTGGAGTGCTCTAACGATATCCACTTGTGGTTTTCCTGCCAAATATAAAGAAGTCACACTATCTCGCTTGAATTCCATCACGAATAACTTTTTTTCAGGAAAATTCTCACCAAAATGTTTTTGTAAGCTTGTAAACAATATAATGAGCTGTCACTGAAATAATTTTAACAGCTGTCGGAGGAGTGGTTTAGAAATGACAGCAGTCTGAAATTGGTTGTTTTTTCATCTCATCTTGTAATTAAGAGTTTACGTTTTTGTTTACTAGCAGCCATATGGCTACTGAGGGTATGTATCATTTGATACGGCCAAAACTTTCCATATCGAAATGTCGGTTTTAGGCCCTAGTTTCTTTGGATTTTGGAATATTTCTGGACATTTGGGGTCGATATAGGGGTGCCCGTCCGTCTATCTGTCTGTCTGTCTGGCTGATGCGCACGATAACTCTCGAAGGAAGTATCTGAGTTGGTCCACAAGTGATATATCGTAATATTATTGTCAAACTTAGGAGATGGGCAATATTGATTCTGGTATCTTATCAACACACCGCCAGCCCCTCCTCCATCCAAGAAAAAGGTAAAAATTTTCACACAAAACAATTTATATCATACAACAAGAAAACTCATCCAATTTTGTCCAAACTTTACAAATTCCAATATTTTAATCCGTGCAGTGTATCAGTACATAGCGCACTCCATCAATAACCTCCTCCTCAAAAGGTCAAAATTTTTAATTAATACAAAATGTGAAATAAGTTTCCGATTGTCTTCAAATTCCGCACATCCCAATATTTTTACAAACACTAGTTATGGTATGAAGAACCTATAAAACGGAGCACTCCTTTTGGTACCTCCCCCACAAAATGAAATAGACGACAAAACGAAGTAGTCGGCAAAACTATCTCATAATTTTTAACTTGTTGTGTTCCTTCATTGGAGACAAAATCTTTAAAACCCAGAAAAAATGGACCAGCGACAAGGGTTGCTTCAACTAGTAATTTCTATATATCAGATGGTTTTTCCAACAGGCCAGATTGTGGTCGATACGGGCAATTACAAACACTTGTGTGTATTTGTAAGTGGGTGTGTTTGTGTTTTCACATTATCTATAGCAGCAGGTTTTCCCCATCAAAAAAAATCATTAAAAAAAATTATATTCGTTTGATTTTCAAAATCCTTATCTATATATATATATATATATATATGAAAAAATAGAGGGTTGACTGAGTGACTGAGTGATTCATCAACGCCCATGCGAAATGGCTAAGCTAGAAATGTGTACTGCAATTGTAAAAAACAAGTAAAAAAGCTGTAAGTTCGGCCGGGTCAAACCTTGAATACCCTCCACCATTTCGATGGAATTTAGCAATTTTCAAAAAATAAAATCCGTTAAAAATTCTTTTAAAATCTTAAAAGTGCCGAATATAGCTGTTATAATAACAAAACTTGGAAAAAAATCAGTGAATAATGTCGCTAAAATCACCAAAATACCGAATATCGGGAGGTACCGTTCTATGGGGAGGTACGAAGACGTGAACCTGCACAGACAATTTTTTGTCTTAAGCTGTAGTATCCATTACGAACTTCAAATACCAAATTATGTAGCTAAAATTATCAAAATACCGAATATCGGGAGGTACCGTTATATGGGGGCTATACCAAAACGTAGACGAACATGGGCCATTTTCAATGCCAAAAGTCCTGCAGACATAATATACATTTGAGTAAAATGCATACTATGGTGGAGGGTATACAAAAAGTATTAGATGAGATGAAAAAACTGCAACCAACTTCAGATTGCTGTCATTTCTAAGCCACTCGTCCGACAGCTGTTAAAATTATTCAAGTGACAGCTCAATATATTGTTTACAAGCGTACAAAGGCATTTTGGTGAGAATTGTCCACAAATAAAGTTTTTCGTGATGGAATTCAAGCGTGATATTGTGATTTCTTTAAATTTGACTGGAATACCATAAGTGGCTATCGTTCGAGCACTCCAGCATTTAAATGTGAATAAATCTTTTGTGTCTCGTACCATCGCGCGTTACCGTGATACTGGTAGCGTAGCCCAACGTCAAGGATGTAGACGGGAGAAAACAGCAACATCAGCAGAAATGGTTCGAAAAGTCTCGCGCGTCGCAGTGGCCTAAAAATGGCTCGTGAGCTCAACATACCGCAATAAAATAATGAAAAATGAGCTCGGGGTAAAGCCATTGAAATTCCAAAAAGTGTAAGAACTTACACTGCAACAAAAAGAAAACAGACTCAAAAGAGCTAAAGAGTTGCTTGGCCGAAAGTGGTGAACTGCCGAATTTGGTTTTCTCCGATGAGAAAACATTCGTTGTCCAGCGGGTTGTAAACAAACAAAATAATCGTGTTTACTTACCAAAGAGGTCAGCTGAAAATGTGCACCTTCGGTTGGCCACCAGAACCCAAGCGCCGACCATGCTGATGCTGTGGGCCACCATAACAGCCGATGGTCTCTCTCCGCTCGTATTAATCGACCGTGGCATTAGAATAAATGCCGAATATTCTCGCAAAAATATTCCTGGGCACGCAAAAATTTTGGCCACAGACCTTGGACTTTCCAACAGGACTCAGCACCATCGTACTCAA